AGAGCATGGAAAGACAGGGTGTTATCGTTAAAGTCACAGAGCCAACCGAATGGGTTAACTCCATGGTTGTAGCCGAAAAGCCATGCACAGGTCAGCTGAGAGTATGCCTGGACCCAAGGAACCTTAACAAGGTCATTAAGCGACCTCACTTCCCTTTACCCACTCTTGAAGATATAACATCCAAGCTCGCTGGTGCCCAATATTTTAGCGTTCTAGATGCCAGATCGGGTTATTGGACCATTAAGCTCACTGAGGAGTCATCAAGACTAACTACTTTCAACACGGTCTTTGGGCGTCACCGTTTCTTACGCCTCCCCTTCGGACTGATTTCAGCCCAAGACGAGTTCCAGCGAAAAATTGATGAAACGTATGAATGTTTGAATGGGGTCATGGACATAGTCGACGACATTCTCATTTATGGAAAGACCAAAGCAGAGCATGACGAAAACCTCCATGTTATGCTTCAGCGTTCAAGAGAGAGAGGAGTCAAGCTCAATCCAGAAAAAAGCATGATCTGTGCTACAGAGGTGAGCTATTTTGGGCATCTTCTCACTGCTGAAGGGGTAAAGCCAGACCCGGCCAAAGTCGCTGCTGTGAGAGACATGGAACCACCTAAAGACAAAGGAGAACTCGAGACAGTGCTAGGTATGATCAATTACCTCTCCAAATTTGCACCTGGCCTTTCCGATGTCAACGCACCACTGCGACAGCTCCTTAAGGAGTCAAGTGAGTTTGTTTGGGACGTCCAACACGACAAAGCTTTCAAGAAGATGAAAGAGCTACTCACATGTGAACCAGGCCCAGTCTTAGCCTATTTTGATCCTCACAAAGAGATCAGATTACAGGTCGATGCCTCCAAGTACGGGCTCGGGGCAGTACTGATGCAGGATGGAAGACCTATCACATACTCATCAAAGTCCCTCTCTGAGAGTGAAATCAATTATGCTCACATAGAGAAAGAACTCTTTGCTATACTGTTTGGTTGTAAGCGTTTCCATCAATACATCTATGGCCACCAAGTCGTTGTTGAGAGTGACCACAAAACCCAGAGTCATTCTGGATCTGTGATTGTACAAGGGTGTAGGCGGATCGCTGCCCTTTCAAAAGAAAATGCAATGTTCAATGCATTCCAAATGTTCAATTCAGTTTATATTCATGTGTATGTGACAATCTATGGCTATGCGAATACACAGTATTCTTTGCACTTCAGTCTAATAGTTTATTAGCATACTAGTTTGTGCATATAATTTGAAAACTGAATTCCTTCTTTTACTTAATATGTTATACAGTATTTTGTACTTTGTTGTATTATTTTATAAGAAGGGGGATGTAGTATTCTTACGTTTGGCACAACCAATCATATGTCAGAAGCAACGTATTCTCTGTTCCTATTGGCTATATCACCTGTCAGTATAGGTAATGCAAATTAGTCAGAGGTTTGGTTGTGGTTTGCTGCTGAGGAGTTAGCGCTCATGTTGCTTAGCTGAAAAGTGTTTAATAAAAAACTACATGCTAAAGCTGATTATGCGTGCATCAAGAGCCTTCATGTGCATGTCATCATCATAAAGAAAACATGACAACGTTATTCTCTAAGTAATTAACTTGTTTGAACATTTAATTAAATGGCTTAATACTAATAAATGTTTTCTTATGTTGCAGGTAAGTGTCCCACATTTCAGAGGATTTTAGAATGAGTGATGGGATGGGATGGGGAGGCTGTAGTATCCTTAATGTAATTTCAAATTTCCTAATTGGTTTTCTGCTGTTATAGACTGATATCATTGGCCTGGAATGATAATCAAGATAATCAACCTATATTTAACAAATTTTTTTTTAATCAGCATTAGCAGATAAATGAGCCTGATTTACAGAAGTCTGTCAGTTTCTTTAAAGGGGTCATATGATGCGATTTCAAGTTTTCCTTTCTCTTTGGAGTGTTACAAGCTGTTTGTGAATAGATAAGATCCCTAAAGTTGCAAAGACTAAAGTCTCAAGTCCAAAGAGATATTCTTTATAAAAGTTAAGACTCGTCCACGCCCTCCTAAAACACCTCGTTCAAACACGCCCCCACATGTCTACGTCACTGAGTGGGAAGAGTTGCATAACACCGCCCAAATGTATAAGCAAAGAAAGAAGGTGTAACTTTGATTCTGGCTGTAGTATTGTTGCCGCCGCCACCATGTCGTGGAGACCCTGTGTGTTTTGTTGTGAAAGCGAAACTACTTAGTTTGGTCTTCCAAAAGAGGACACAACTAGAAATCAGTGGTTAAGTTGTATTTACAACACCGTTCCAGAACAGTTCAAACCAAATATTCAGACGTGTGCAGACACGGCGTGATGCAACGCAACGTGTAAAAAGACAGTATAAGTCATTATAATCAGTAATTATGTCCCAACTGGATCCAACAAATGCCTCGTTTGTTATGGGTTTTATTGGTTTTGTCTCGACTCGTCGCGTTTTAAAAATCCACGCGTTTCAGAAAGGCGGGGCATAGAGGAGAAACAATAATGCACAGTATGTGGAAAATAATGTGGTTTTTTAACCTTAAACCGCATAAACACATTTCATTAAACCAAATACACAAAATAATGTTGTCATATGACCCCTTTAATGAATAATGTACAATGCAGATGTTCTGTTTTCAAATATGTTTGAGTAAAATTCAATTAATGGGATAGTTCACCCAAATATAAAAATTCTGCCATCATATACGCTCATTCATGTTGTTCAAAACCCATAAGACTTTGGTTCATTTTCAGAACACAAATGAGGATATTTTTAATTTTCTCTAATTATTTAAAGTGCATAACAGATTTATTAGACCACCACCACCCAATGTAAGGTTTGTACCACAGCTGCCCTGAACTAACAGTTTTGGTGATTACCAAAATCATTTTTTATGCTTCTGTAATGGTTAATTCACCAGTTTGTGTAAGCTTATTTATTCACAGTAGTATTTGTAATGTTAAAATATAATTGTTGTTATCCATGATTTTTTATTTATTTACTGTTTTACAAGAAAAGGCTGAAAAAAATGGTAGAGCACTTTATTATTATTATTATTTTTTTAAATTCAGATGCCCAATTACAGTGAATAACAACAAAGACTGTGGAAAAGTACATAAAAACAGTGCCACTACGGTAAGAATGCAAGCTGTTATCAAGGCCAAAGGAGGCCATACAAAATATTATGTTTTTTGGTTATTATGTGGTAATAAAGACTATTTAGTTGTTTCAGTTTGTTATTTGCCTAATAAATGACAATAAAACGTTTTAAACAAGTTTTTCACAGATTCGAAAATTCATGGATAACAATTATATTTTATCATTACAAATACTACTGTGACTAAATAGCTTACACATACTGGTGGATTAACCAGTACAGAAACAAAAATAAAATGATTTTGGTAATGACCTATACTGTTAGTTTAGGGCAGTTGAGGCACAAACCTTACATTGGGTGGTGGTGGTCTAATATGTCTTGTGAAAATGATATTATTGTATGAAGTAAATATGCACAGATATCTATTAAAGCTAAGTTACTTAATTAAATGCAGCGAGTGATTCTCTATTTTTCTTTTGTTATTTGATTAACATTATTAACATAAGAAATGCACTGACAGTTTTTTTACATCGATACTCATCAAGAAGACCATTCTGACATAATTTTGTGCCTATTTGCTCAATATGCGAAAGAGAACTCAATGTGGTATTTGCGTGCTGTCTGAGAGATGGCTTGCTTGTGTGCATGCTTCAGGTGTGTGCGCGCACAGAGATGATCTATGACAGTACACGAGCATGAAGTGAAGTCTTATGGATTTGGAATGACATGTAGGTGAGTAAACAATGACAGAATTTTCATTTTGGTGAAATAAATTTTTATAATATTGTTGCAATTAGGGATGTCCCGTGCCGACATCAAGGATTGGGGCCGATCAAGCATTTTTTAACTGATTGGTATCAGCTCTCCTAAACCTGATCCTTATTTTTACATCAGGTGTCATGCAGTAGGAGGCGATATGCGCCTTTAAGTGGGTTTTCCAACTGCCATTAAAAAAAAAGAAGCCGCTCAAATGTACATGCGTGATGCACGAGAACCAGTGAGGTCTGATCTAGTGTATTTGTATTTGAACTTTTACTCTATGCACAGCTCTATACATAGGATTGATTTGAATAACTTTAATGTACTTGAATTGAGCACCAAACACTACAATATCGAATCGGGACTCTTATCGGCAGATACTCAATATTCAATGACTCAGATCCGGATCGGAGGCACAAAAATCTGATCGGCACATCCCTAATTTGAATAGTACTGTGAAAAAGTCATAAGGACATTAGATGATTCACAAAAACATTTTGTTTGAAGATAGTTATTTATACCTTGCCTTTATTGGACAAAGGCAATTGAGACTGCATAAACCCATAGAAGAAATAAGACAGCTTCTCCAAATTGCTTGGAATGCCTTACCTGCAAAGTACAGTACTCTGAAAAGTTTTAGGCGCTTCCTTTTTTCCCCTCCCTCTTCTTCATGTTGGCCTGACTTTAATAATGATAGTCACCAGCAGGACAAGTGCTGTCACAGCTTGCAAGACATATAGCCTTAAAGGCAGAGTAAGTGATTTCGGGTAGCCAATGTTGATATTTGAAATCACCAAAACAAACACGCCCCTACAAAACAAACACGCCGTCCGATCGCAGGCCTCCGCTCCTTGAGTTCTCTCCAGCGCTGGAAAGCTGATCCGATATTTACACGGGTCCTACTTCTTGCCTTATCGTTCCGCAGACGTTTTCCTCTTTTGTTTTTTATCCGCCATCTCTATCTTTCTGTCGCTCGGCTCGGCTAATGTCCGTCCCATGCACTGAACGCGCTCTCCTCCACATCACAAGTAGACACGCCCCTTATTGCTGATTGGCTACAAGTTTGTTTTGCGATTCGGCCCGAATCAGTTTTCTAAAGTGTTTTTGAAAAATCACTTACTCTGCCTTTAACTCAGGATGCACCCGGATCTGTCGCCCCATCTACATACTGACGAGTGCAATCAGCTTATAACACTTCTCAAACAGTGCCACAAGGAGGTATGGAAACATACTCATGCAAATATGCTTCTCAGAGTTAAATTTTCTCCTCCTTAATTGCACAATCCACAAACCATGCAGTAAAAAAAACATAATTTTGTGAATGAAACAAACCAAGAAATAAAATCTGTTATCATTTACCTCATACCTTTAGCCTCATGTAATTTCAAACCTGAATGATTTTGTTCTGTGGGCCAAAAAAGGTAGTCAACAGAAGAATTTCTATGCTTTAATAACTCATTTTGTGTTCTTTGGAAGAAAGTCATACATGTAAGACATGAGGGTAAGTAAAAGATCACAGGATTTTATTTTTGAGTAAACTATTGTATTTCTTTAAATCTCTATTAGATGCAAGTACACGCTACTTTTTGGATTGTACCATTTATTCTGATTGTATCATTTTTTCTGATAATCTGTCATAAAACATGTGCACTAATTAGAGAGAGTGCAAAATGTTTATCTTACTTGGTTTGAAAACAGAATTGTAAGAAAAATAATGTCTGGCTCTATCATTAGCATAACGTCCTCAGGTTCTTTGGCACATGTAATGATGTGGACCATGCAATGCGGGACTGTCTCAAGAAAGAGGTGAGGACGTGATTGTGTGGTGCTCATTGTGAGTTCCTGTAGCTTGAGAATGCACATACTGAATACCTTATATCACTAAAAGTCACTTTGGATAAAAGTGACCATTTACACCTGGTATTAACATCGCATTAGTAAAAATTAATTAAAAAATTATGTGTTGCTGTGTTTAGATGAGTGAATGTGTTTGTCCCTGCAGTTTGTGTGTGTTCATCCTACCTCTTGCAAATTAAAGGGATAGTTCACCTGAAAATGATAATTGTCATCATTTACTCATCCTGTTTGTTCCAAGCTTGTACGAGTTTCTTCCTTTTGATGATTTTTTAAAGAATGTTGGTAACCAAACAGTTGATGGTAGCCATTGACTATATAAGTCAGTGCTACCTTCAACTGTTTGGTTACCAACATTCTTCAAAATATATTGTTTTGTGCTCAACAGAAGGAACTCAGGTTTGGATCAACTTTCAAACTTTCAACACATGACTGACATATGACCTTAACATGAAAACAATGAGTTAAAGATTATAGATTTAGGCTATTGCTTTTTTACTTGATGTGATAGTCATGTCATTGTGGAACTCATTCAACTCATCCTTATATGAAGCCCGCTCCTCCCCTGTCCTGCAGCGTTCTTTACCTGTTTGCAGTTCAGATCAAACATCTCACTGTATCCAATCACAAGTGGTCAAAGGAGACTAATTTGAGATTCATGTTAATAGCTGGTGTAAACAGTAATGTGTTTTGGCTTGTCAATTCACATTGGTTTACTCATGATGGGTATTAATACTAGATGGAAATAAGGCCAGAGCATCTTCCATACGAATAAACATGTTTATTGTCAACTCAGATGCTTGGTTTCAGTCTAGATTTTTTATTTTTTTTGCTCGAGGCAATAAATCAAAAGATTTGTGAAATCAGTCTCTAAGTAAAGCTTGAAATATGAATGTTCTGATTTGTCTAGCTGTCTTCATTTCAAATCATTTGCCTCTCTGTTTGTCCACACAGTACAAGGCAAAGAGGGAGCGCAGCAAGGCCCACGCAGAAGAAATGAGACAGCGTTTAAAGGAACAACCAAAAGAGCATAGTATCAAACATCACCCCCTTGGAGAACAAAACTTCTCCAGACACGATCTAGCTTCTGGTGTTCTTAGGGTGCCTGGACACTTTAACCCCCGGTTTCACAGACAAGGCTTAAGCTAGTCCCAGACTAAAATGCATGTTTGAGCTGTCTCAACTGAAAATATCTTGCTCTGACATATCTTAAAATATGTCAGTGTCATTGTTCTGTGTCAAGATGCACACCTGTAATGTTTCCTTCTAAGGCATTTTTGTAAAAGTTGCTTAAATATCTTAATTTAACTAAGGCCTAGTCCTGGTTTAAGCTAAGCCCCGTTTGTGAAACCGGGCCTAAATCTGGAATACTTTTCTATGAGGATTAATTTATTATGAACCTTGCAGTAAATAAGGCAGTAGAGTGAGTTGTCTGAAGATGAAGCTTTACAATGGTATACATTGTACGTTTATTTAATAATGTTTAATTGCAGACTCTGAGCTGTATCCCAGATGTGACCTACTGATCTGGAGAGTGGGTCTGAAACAAAATTTCAACATTGTGATTGTTTAAAATTCCAATGTAAAAAATAAAGTTAAAAATTGATCATTGTCACTAGCACATTTATTGGCAACTTGTCTACATTAATATATTATTGTTTAGAGAAAAAAAGAGCCTTGAAAAGTTGAATTTAGTTTAACAATGCTCCATAGGGCGTGCAACATCAGTAAGCAGTTTAAGTGTTTTCTGGTCATATAGTCCCTTTTAGTGCCGATGTCACAATTACGTCACAGCATTATCTGAAGGCAAAACAAAGGAATAACTGGAGGCGGCCAATACAAACCAGCACAGAGTCGGCTACATAAGGAGCTTAAAATGTCATCTTGTTGTGTTATTTTATCGCATACCTGCTGCCATTGCCAGACAAAAAAAAACGACGACAGCTGTGGTTAAACGCAATAAAACGAGCGGACTGAACTGAAACGATCATCAAAAATGTTCGTGTTTGCAGCGTACACTTAATATCAGTTAAGGTTAAATAAACTGTTGTCTTTTATGGATTATGGTTTGGTTATGAGTCTAAAGATTTCTCATGCATGCCCATCTAATTAGAAATTGGGGAACAAGTTCACTAACGACCAGAGCCTAAACATAAAGGAAACCGTTTGTGTCGTTTCGCTTTCTTCAATTGCCATAAAGTGCAATTGTAGAGAGAGGGAACAGTGAAGGCCCATGTTATGTGTCAGGTGTGTGTTCAAGTAGCTGCATTTGCTTATAATCGCCATTGTTAGTACATAGTTATAGGTATCTAAAGATTTATATGCCCTAATTTTCTATTTACTATAAATGCTCTGTTTATCTGGTAGGTGTGTCAGGCCACTCCTGTCAGATCGTCCATCCATTGAGTGAGTGTGTACGAGTCGGCCAATCTGGTTCATTCTATTAAAGTTAACATTTTCAAATAACAATCATGATCCCGGACAGTGAGTGACATTAAATATTCAGATAAAATCTAATTTTCTCCAGTCATTGTTTAAAAAAAAAAAAAGAAAGAAAAAACTTGCTAGCTAGCGTTAGAGAAGCAGTCAGGAGACTCTTTCTGCCTCCACCTAAGCTCCGCCTATAAAAAAACGTTTGCCTTTGCGAGTATGACTCTCACTCAGTTTGTGAATTAGCAGAACTTGAACAGAAACATTATACAACACTTAACATGAATAACGCTTAATGTACCAAGACAGTGATAAAGACAAAACTGTAAAGCATACTATGTGCAGATATGCATATGAGCCCAAAATGTGAACTAAACGTGTTTATCTACACGTTAAGTGTTTTCCTCTTATATAAAGAAAATGCTTAATGCACTGAGACAGCGATATTAAAAGACCACATTCTTTGCACACTTTACTAATAAAGCATAATATGTGCAGGAAAACAGATGAGCCCAAAATATTAACTTCTGTGTACCTGTTCAGCAGGGCCTATATGCAGATTGAATAAAATCAATATGGATTAACCTGCAACCCCCTGCACATACTTATACTCTGGCCCTCAGCAGCCTGCCTGATTTTTAATCAGTTTTTGTCCTAAACCTGAGACTTACTCAATAGTACACAGAGCTCTAATTAATTTCAAACACAGAGCAGAAGGGGGAGTGGTACAGAAAAAGAAAAACACTAATATGGAAGGGTGTCATTCTGGGGAGAGACAAAGGCTATACATTCTGCATACCCGGCTGCAAATGGCTCTGTGTCTTGGCCCCAGTGCTGCTTAGGTAATAAAACATAAAAGTTCTCATGATGCCTGGAGGGAACATTCATGTTCTGCCAACATTAGCATAAGGGAATTGTCTTTTCTGCAGTGCAAACAAGCTATGAAACATGGCCAACATCCTGTAATTTCAGCAGCTAGCACCTTTGATCTGTTCCTGTGTTACTCACTGTACATTAAATGATTAATTAAGGTGCCTCTAGTCCGTGACCCTTTTTCAGATCAGCATGCAACTGGCAATAGAGTGGGAATGAATAATTGAAGGATTCCTACAAGAAGGGATTTGTGGTGGTATCTGAAGTGGCCTTTTGTTCTCCATGCACTGAGCCACTAAACTGTTAGCTGTGCTGGGCTGAGCAAAGGTTAGAAAGACAGAAGGGCCATCCACAACAAGATGTCCTCCTTTTAGAATTGGGTGAAACGGAGGAAATGATTACTTACCAAATAGTTTACAATAATCAATATTACATTTCTTTGAAGCATTGATAGTTATAGTGGTACCTGCTAAAGCACTATTTAAGTATTAAATAGAATAGCAACAGTGTGAAACAGAAACACACACAGAAAGGGAATGATATATAAAACTTTTAATGATCTATATTTTTTAAAACAATTTTATTGATCAATAAGCATTTGTAAAATAATTATATAAAATTATATTGACAGTATATAAGACAACTCCTGTTTACTTTTTTGCCATTACTTTAATAAATTGCCATGGCAACACCGTTTGAGATATTCAAAAACAATTCGCAATTTAGGTTCCTCTGTGTTTTCACATCATATAGACAAAGTTAGGTGTAAATTGTAGGACAGCAATAGGAGGAGTATAAAGAAGAAAAATTAAAGTTAATAAAAGCATTTCCATGGCAACAGTATTTAAGATATCAAGAACCTCTTAGTAGTTTTACATCTGTTGTGTCTTGACATTATTCTGATGAAGATTGAAGCAAATCAGGTAAAAATAAGAGGCTGATTTCAATATGCAATAGCATTTTGAATATGACACATCCTACTGCCAGTTGATGGCACTATAACTTTCACACATAATAGTCACATCTATGTGATCAACCTCCTTCAATGAACAAACTGCTGAAGTTTGATCAAAATCAGTCAATGTATGTCCAGAGTGTGCGTTTTCTTTAATTAAATTAAAGGTCCCATATTGTCAAAACTGAAATTTCCTGGCTTTTTTCATGATAACTGAGGTCAAGGTGCTATGTAACTACCATATACGTTTCAAAACAGTCAATGCACAGTCAAATGCACACAGTCTGCATAAAGTAGCTGTGATTTTTCACAAACCGTTGTGACTTCCGTAAAAAGGTGACGTCAGAACTACTCAGTCACCGCCTTCAGTCACCACCCCGAGCACTGCCCACTCTGTGCACAGTCCCACTCTTCTTTTGCCAAACCCCCAGACAACATCGCGTCCATGCCATTGCTGAGCAACAACAACACGGAAACATGTCGAGAAAACGCTGTTCAGTCTGGATGTCAGGAAACTACATCATTAAGTTACGCCTTCTTTTTTTGCGTGAACATTTGGGCGGTGTTATGCAAATCTTCCCAGATCGTGACGTAGGTATGTGGGGGCGTGTTAGAACGAGCCATTTTAGGGGGGCGTGGTTAACTCTCAACTTTTATAAAGAATATCTCTTTGGTTTTGAGACTTTAGTGTTTGCAACTTTACAGATCTTCTTTATGCACCAAGAGCTTGTAACACTCCAAAGAGAAAGGAACAATTGAAATCGCATCATATGACCCCTTTAAGTCGACTGAACATAATGGAAATAAGTTATGTAAAAAAAATAAAAAAATTAAAAATAGTAGTTTCTGCTCATTTTAACCAAGTAATTTGAACAAGCATTAAAAAAAATTATAATAACAAAATAAAAAATCATGTGGATTCAGAACTCATTCCAAAGTGATATTTATTCCTATGGAAGCATTTTTCAATGGAAGGCTGTTTCCGCCACTGTAAAAAAAAAAAAATTGATTCTGTAAGTCATAATAATGAGAAACATTCTCAAAATAATGACTTAATTAGTTACTCCTAATAATGAGAAACTTTCTCGTAATAATGACTTTTCTCGTATCAGTGAGAAACTTTCTATAGAGAATGAGGAGTTACATCACGATGTTTTCACTCCGCATTGCATTTCGGGAAGGCGTTACCATATTAGCAGGATACTCTATTGCCATGGTTACTTCAACAGTGAGACAGAGAGAAAGAGCAACAGAGAGAGAGAGAGCAGCTTGATGTTTGTTTACATTTTTGTGATACGGCACAGTTTTCTTGGGAAGAAATGGAGAAGGAGAAAGCGAAAGGAAAGGGGCTCTATTAGGAGAGACAAATTAACACCGCAAAGCAGCATTATTTAGAGAAATTTCTTGACATCAGTAACATCGACCCGTATGACCTGCCAGCTACAGAATGGATGAAAAAAACAGAAGCACTACCACCTCTCTTATGGATTAAGACAGTGATATTGAAAGTTCATATTTTGGGCTCATCTGTTTTACTGCACATAGTGTGCTTTATTAGTAAGGTGTCTACAGAATGTGGTCTTTTAATATCACCATCTCAGTGCATTAAATGTTTTCTTTATATGAGAGGAAAACACTTAAAGTGTGAATAAACGTGTTGTGTTCACATTTTGGGCTTATATGCGTATCTGCACATAGTATGCTTTATAGTTTTGTCTTTATCACTGTCTTAGTACATTAAGCTACATTAAGAGTTATTTGTGTAAAGCATTTTAGAACGTCCCTGTTCAAGTTCTGCTAATTCACAAGCTGAGTGAGAGTCATACTAGCAAAAGTAATGTTAATTAAACCAAACAAAATCAAAACTTTTAAAAACGCCCAGCAATGTGATTCTTCTATTGAGTGATAGGCAATGGGTTTAACCAGTGACATTGCAATATCCAGCGTCTTCTCGTCATCTCCACGATCTGCTTCCCTTAGTGTTTTTAAACATAGAAAATGCAAACAAACAAACAAAAAAAAATATTACATATTACTCAAAAGCGCAAAGGCAGCGCGATCCTCCCATTATGGCGGATAAACAAAGCAGTTTCCCAGAACTCAGCGCATCATGACGTCAGCTTCACATTCTCTATTTGCATGGGCAAAGCGAGAAGGTCCTGGCTGTGTGCTTGGTGTCTCAGGTTGTGTGTTTGGTGTCTCAGGTTGTGTGTTGTGTATTTGGTGTCTCAGGTTGTGTGCTTGGTGTCTCAGATTGTGTGCTTACCTGCTTGGTTTCTCAGGTTGCGTGCTTGGTGTCTCAGGTTGCATGCTTGGTGTCTCAGGTTGCCCGCTTGGTGTCTCAGGTTGCCCGCTTGGTGTCTTAGGTTGTGTGTTTGGTGTCTCAGGTTGTGTGCTTGGTGTCTCAGGTTGCCTGCTTGGTGTCCCAGGTTGTGTGTTTGGTGTTTCAGGTTGTGTGCTTGGCAATGTTCACTCTAAGCTGCGTGCGCGGCCACGCACTTCTTGCACCGCGGCCGCGCAGAAGAAATAATGTGCCGTGCACACGCATAAATGAGTTGGGAAAACCATTTGCTTAAGCGAATGAATTGCAATGCTCGGGTAAACTGCTATAGAGTTGATATCACTATAGAGTTATAACCGGTGAATGAGGTTTACAGGTTTCATAGAAAGAGAATGATGTGCGCCAAATGACCCTGCGTTCCATTCAGAAGGAAAACCTTAAAAGGGTTTACCCTCCGGAGTGAGAGCTTCGAAGGGTTGAAGGGTGTAGGGGACCAAACAACTGTTTCTTGAAGTGCCCTTCTGCGTCATCATCACGTGCCCACACGGAGGCGCCGTCATCATGCAAAGAATCTGCGCAAAGGATCATTGGAGCCCGAAGTGTCCATTGTTTTCACTCCGAAGTGCCCTTAGAGACATTTACAGTCACACACAGGTGTATTGTGCAAACTATACTTCATAGGGATGTTTAGATAGCTATAGAAGAATTCACGTTCACGGTTTTATTTAAATATTTAACTTACAGATCTCAGTTTAAATGCTTCAGTTTGTATTCTATTCTATTCTGTCAGTTTAAATGCTTCAGTTTGTTTTGATATATTCCCGTGAAGCAAAGCTGAATTTTCAACATCATTACTCCAGTATTACGTGTC